GATGCGCATTCGAATAATTTATATATTAATAATCAAATATTTTATTTATTTATTTGTATTATAAATCTTGTAATGTATTATTTTTCTTACAGTTGTCAATAATACATTTTAAATTAAATAATATTATAAAATATTTTAAATTTGCTATTATTTATATAATAAAATATAAACCAACAATTTTCTTTGCGATATATAATATTATAGTTAGATAGGTTGTAATAATTTTGGATTATAGTTAGTTAGGTTGTAATAATTTGGTTTTTTTTTTTTTAGTGGATTAGGTTTTTCTGTCAATGCGAGATTTTAGTGGCAATTTTTTATCGATTTAATCCATTATTTATTGTAGTTAATGTATGATTATATACTTTATCCATGGTAATTCTATGTTTTTATTTTATGTGATGCAAATTTAACGGTTAACATAAGTTCATACAAGAAAAGAACATATTATTTATTCACAAATTGATTAAAAATGAAAGTTAATGATGTAATATCCGTATTTCTTATTGGATTCTTAAAAAATAACATTTATCATGAATTTTCATAATTTTTTTGGATTTTTTTTAAAGAACCGATTCGGTCGATTCTCTATCTAGATCGCTGATTCACCGATCCGGATGGGTTTTTGAGGTACCCGATTCAGGGCATCGATCTATTTTTTAAACCACTAGATGGAGCTGTGTTGTTCGGGTAAAAATTATTTTCAAAAATAAAATTTTAGAAAAATTCAGTTTTTCTAAACTCAAATTGAGTTCAAAACCCCTTTGTCTCTCAAATCTCAGTTAGGGAACACCCAAGCCTTTTATCTCCTCAAAAATCTCTTTGGCCTCGTTAACCATGCATTCCTTGCATAAACCACATATGAGAATAGGGTATTGCAGAGTCAGGAACCCAGCATCGCAAAGACCCTTAATCGTGTTATAACAGTATGTATACTACTCATTTCCTGTGTACTATTAATTTTATCAGCTTCACAAAACCTCTTGATCATCGTGGTATAAAATACACAAACCCCTAATTTTGGGTTCTTCTCCTCTTTGAGGGCAGATGCAGCCACAATGAAGCTAGGGTTTCAAGGGGCGTTTCTATAACTTCTACATCTTTGAGAATACTGGAGAGACTGCTTCTTCATCTCTGGGTGAGAGAAAGTTCCTGGCGTTTACGCCATTTTCTGGTGATTTGATGGCAGAGAGTTTCATACTCAAACTTGATCCACTTCCTATGCTTAGGATTTCATCTGGATTGGAGGCCATTTCCTAGAGGCATGAAGAGAGAGCCAACGTTGAGCCTCAATGAAATCAGGATGAGAGAGGGGTAATCCAATTTCGGTTTTTGACAAAACTGAATTTATCTAATTATGGATTTTTTAAAAGGGAATTTTTTTAATTTTTAGTTTTTTGAAAAATAAAAATTTTGTAATAATGTTAAATATAACAGATTGAGGTGGATAAAAAGGGATCATAAAGATGCAGTCTACCTTTAAGAAAATAATTCCATAAAAATTGTAAGGTATATTCCTCACTGTAAGGGAAAAGAGAGAATATGAGTGCGCACAAGAGAGATTATTTTTTTCCTAGATTTTGTGCGTAAGTTACCCATTAGTTTTTTTGTTTCAAATCTATTTCCAACTAAAATTTAGAAGAGAGATATGTATATCTTGTTTACATATCTAAGATTTCCCATTAAAAATATGAGGTGCATATTCGGATATGGATTAATTAATCCAAAATGAATTGACAAGCATTACTAAGATATATCATATGATGAGATGCATATTCGGATATGGATCAATTAACCTAAAATGAATTGACAAGCATTAATAATGTATTACGTTTCCTTATTAAATTTTTGTATTTTAAAATGTCTGTATTTTATAACCCCATTATCTGTACTGGATAGAGAGAGAGTAGGGTAGAGAGAGAAAGAAAACACTCAATTGAAGGGACGCATAAATTATAGGGGTAGAGAGAGTAGGGTAGAGAGAGAAAGAAATACTCGATTAAAGGAGAGAGAAAGTATAAGATGAGAAGATTTACGTGAGATGGAGATGCTACCTCATGTGCAATTCAAAATGCAAAAGAGTAGGGATTTGAGGTTATAGATTAGAGATTTAGGATAGGGTAGAGAGAGAAACAGAACTTGATTTTTAGGGAGAGTATATATGCAAGAGAGAGAATGAGATATTTTAGGGGAGATGAGTAGAGAAAGAGAGAATATCTTAATATAAGATTTAAAAAAATAAAGATTTTAATTGGATTTATTTGAGAGAATATGCACAAGAAAAAAAAGAAGAGATAATGAGCAATTTTATGAGAGATTTTGAGGAGAGAGAGTATATGAGAGATTGAGAGAGAGTACGTGAGAGATATTGAGAATGAGAGAGAGAGTACATACAAGAGAGAGAAAGAAAGGAAAGTGAGAGAAAGCTCAATCTATGTCTCTCATATATCTTAAAATCTATAGTTACTATTTTTTCACCTAAAATATCTCTCTTATACTAAGTGGGAGAAATTATATATCTCACTTTTTGTTAAGACGTTTATTCTAATTAGGTTTAGAAATCTTATAAATAGAAATTTTTCAACTTCTCAAAATAGTTTCACATGCCTCTCTCAACCTCAAAATTTTGCCTCTCTCGACCTCAAGGTGTGCTCCCTCCCTCCCTCTTGATCTCAACCTCAAGTTGTGCTTCGTTTCTTCCTCCCCTCAAGGTGTGCATCGTTTCTCCTTCCTTCCCTCTTGATCTCAACCTCAAGGTGTGTTACGTTTCTCCCTCCCTCCTGATGGTTTTTAGTTTGATGGTTTTTAGTTTCTTATTTGAATTAAGAAGTTATGGCTTTTTAGTTTTTTAATCAATGTTTTGGTTATTTGAAGTGAGAAGTTGAGTTAAGTATATGTTAAGAATTTTGATAGTTTATTTAAGTTAATCTATTCTTTGAAGGGGTTAAATCCCCAAAATTGGTGTCCTAATATTAATTCTAAATTGTTTAGGATCGGGCATTAAAGATTCAAAAAGCTACATAGGAGGATTTTTTTCGATATGAGATTGTGGTATCTATGTAAAAATCACCGGATGATTAATTTCAGAAATAGGAAATTTGGGTCTTGAGTTTTTTATGCTTGGACTCAGATTTGGACTTAAAAAAATTATGGGATCTGAATTTTGCTTGACCTTGACCCAGATCCGAAAAACATTATGAGACCCAGACTCGGATGTGGACTCGAAAAAAGTCATAGGACCCGAAATTTTGCCAAACCTAGACCCAGATTTGAAAAACATTATATGAGACCCAGACTTGGATGTGGACTCGAAAAAAATTATAGGGCCCAAAACCTGGGCCCATCCAAAAATAGAAAAATAGGTATATTTTTACTATGAGGGACTGTGTTTTTTGGTAGTAAAAATTTGGATAATAGAATATATATATATATTAACAATATAAAGATCAATATATAATATATATAACATAATTTAATATATAATCAAATGTATTTTATATATTTTATTAAGGTATATTTGTATTATATATAATATATATATAAGTCAAAGCAAAGATAAACACGTTTCATAAAAATAAGAAAATAAGAAAAGATCATAATTATATAGAACGCATTATCTAAACATACTATATTTAAGGTATATTAAAAGGTAGAGAGAGAGTAAGAGAGAGAATACGCATTTTCTTAAGATTGAGAATTTTAAAAAACCAATTAAAATAGCTACATGTCTTGATTGATGTTTCCTAGCCTAGCCGTTCTTCCCAAAGTTTTAGAGAAAGAGATAGGTACGTTGAGATAATATACTATAGTGAGAGAGTATTCTTCATTAGGAAGAGATTGGCACATGAAAACAAGATAGGATCCTAAAAATATTAAAAACAATCCATATTGTTTTGACGAATGGAAACAACTCATATCACCATATCCTTTTTTTGGTATCTCTTCTTGATATACTTAAATGGAAAAATATTAGAAAACATATTTGAAAAATTATTTAATGGCGTAGCCTCTATCTTCCTTAATATAATAGCAATAGAAGCTATTACATTTTCAATTTCAATTAAACGAGAGAGACGTGTGTAATAGAGGTAAAGACGGAGATAAAGATTTTAGAAGGAGAAATATGAAGAGAAAATTATGGAGATAAAGAGAACAAAATTTTAAAAAGAAAGAGATAGAGAGAGATAGAAAGTAAATCTCCAATATTATTACAAAAGATAGTATGATGTAGAGAATACAGATAAAGATGGAGACAAAGAGAGATTTTAGAAAGGGTAAGAGACAGAGGGGGGAGACGTGCTTAAGAGAGAGAGAGAGTTTCATCACCGAGAGAGAGACACGTGCATAAATCCTCTAATTTTTTTTAGAACTTTGCATTTGAGGTTTACTCTTCGTTGAATATTCTCTATCTTTGCATAGGTTTTCTCTTTGCTGAATAATCTCTTTGCAGTAGAGATTTTTTTTTTCCTAATATTTCCCATAATTCGGTATGTATGGCATAGAAATTTCCTCAATATTTTTAGAACCATGTACACGTTGCAGTAGATGTTTTCTTTTTGTTGAATAGTCTCTTTACCGTAGAAGTTATTTTTTCTAATCTTTTTCAGAATTTTTGCAATTAGTTCATATATATATATATGAGAAAATTGTGATTATTTATTTTATTCCTACATGCAATGCATGTAATTCAACTAGTGTATTATAACACATTATCTAGATTGTCTATTTTCAAGTGTTTATGGTTCCATGAGTTATGTATTATTTTTTGAGCTTCAAATTTTATAATTGGTAATGACAATAGATTTTAGACTCATCATAGGGTTTGCATGTCCGAAATGTTTTCAAGATGAGGTTTTGGGGTGAGGCTTTAATTTTTTTTTGTATGGCCTAAGCTTTATGGAGAACTTATACTTTCATAAGAAAAAGGTTAAAATAAAATTTCCTAAAAAAAAAAGTTAATTAAGGTCACAAATAGGCTCAATGCTAGGTGGTTAGGGTGGTAAGTCACCAGACACGATTTCTTGAGGACCATTCTTACTACATGATGGAGACCCAATCCCCACTTAACTACTTAAAAAAGAAAAAAGAAAAGTTCTAGGGATTAGGCTTATGGAAAAAAGTAAAGCCGGATCTCAAGGTGTTAGAAAACCTTCAAATCGATTTTAACACATTATATAGACCATCCATTTTTCAAGATACCTTATATCAATTCTTGACTTACAAATTTTATAATTGGTGATGGATAGAGATTTTAGAGCCATTATAAGGATTTCTCATTCCCAAAGTGTTTTTAGGATGAGCTTTTGAGGGAAGGCCTTAAATTTTTCCGTAAGGCATAGGCTTTATAGAGACTGCATCCTTTCATAAAAAGAAAATATTATAATAAAGCTTGGGGTTTATGGAAAAAGTAAATTTGCATCTCAAATTTCATCAAGAATTACAGTTTTAGTATCAGAAAACCTTCAAATCGATCATCTAGACCTGGAGTACATGGATGTATAAAAAAAAAAGGATTTTAAGCCTTTAAAATAATAAAAAGAGTAAACAAATGGACCATTTATTTTTGATACAAGGAGGTTACCATCACTCTAGTCCTTCAAATTTCAAATTGAATGTTTATAAGAGTGTCATTGAATATACTCAAAGTTCAAAAAAAAAAAAATCTCAAACTTCGTGACACCCCAAGCTATCCAATTTGACATCTAATTGCTAGAAGTAGTTGTAATCTCCTTATACCAAAGACAAATGGTCTTATAATATATAATCCCTATATTATAGTACATTATCTAGTCCATCGATTTTAAGTGTTCATGAATCCGTGAGATCTATATTATTTCTCAAGCTACAAATTTTATAATTGGTGATGGAAATAGATTTTAATCAGCCTGAAGGTTCAAACTCTTTTTAAAAAAGGATAGAAGAAATACCGGTAAATCCCATAATTTAAATCAATATCTAGATGTATAATACCATACAACTTCAAATATTTGGGAAAAGGCTTTGATAATGATGATCCAGAAATATTACACATGATAAAAGCAAGGTGCACACTATTAAAATCACTTAGAAATCTACTTCTACTCATGTTTGTGTTGTCCTAAATAGCATATTCTATTCTGTTCAACAAGTCCGACTCTTTGTTTTTTTTATTTTTTCAGGCAGTTGAAGCTAGTTATGGGATTCATCTTCAAGACACAATGTTTTTTCTCTTTATAAAAAAACAAAACTATTGACTTGGTATATATATATATATATATATATATATATATAT